GCGGGAACCCGGCGAGCCGCTGTCCCTCCATGGATAGTCTGGACGAGCCTCCTCACGGCGCTTTCGGTTTCGTTTCTTCGAGGAAAGCTGAACCTCCAGGCTCCGCCCCGTGCCGGGAACAGGAGCCACCCCCGGGTGCTCGCCGAGCGGCTCCTCTCGTCCCGGAGCAGCTCGGGGACCGTAACCCACAGCCTCGTTCCTCCGCGGTGTGTCACAAACACAGCTGTTCCAGCGCCCGAGCGGGTCGTGGTTTAAGCTCCGGATAACACTCGCTCTCCCTGCCTTACACTTTCAAACCCAGTCGTGACGAAAAGTTTTCATCATTCTCTGTCGGAGATGCTTAGGCAACTGTGCAAGATTGCAATGAAAGAGTATTTCTCTCAGAACAACGTGTCAACTAGCTGAGGCATTTTCTACTGAGTGCTCAGGACCTTCCCCTTGCAAAGGTTACAGTTTTCAGCTATTTCATGCTGCGTGTTTTACCAGTGTGGCCAAATATGGGACACTAAAATAGCAGAAAAACGATTTCCCCCCTCAACTTTGCTGAAAGTTCAATAAGGAAATAGATAAATAACAAAATGTCATTAAAGATGATAAGCACAGGTGGATGCCAGCTAAGCACAGATATCATCAGACACACTGCTGAGAGACCCATGGGGATGCCTTTGTTTTGCAGCTGGTGTCTGATATACCCATTGTTTCCTAATGAACTGTTTTGTCCACTAGCCCAGGTCCGTGCTCTCCTCCTTTGCTGTAACCCAGGTGAAATTCCTGACTGTGATTAAAAAACGAGTACATTTATTCCTAAACAGTACAGCCATGAATAGAAAGTAAAGGTCTGTACAGCTTGTTATAGGATAAAGGCTGGGGAGCTTTCCATGACAGTAAACAGGACTCTGCTGCAGAACTCAGCCTGCAAACTTTGCCACAGACAAAACGGGAGCAAGTGGGTTATCTGGTACGGGTCTGACACCATGAACTGGCTTACTGGGACAGCAAGTGAAAAGAGAGACTGACAGAAGCTGGGGAGATTTAATCCTCACAGCTGTCTTGGGTTTGGCTAGGATAGAGTTAATTTTCTTCTTAGTAGCTGGTACAGTTTTGCACCAGCTGTGTTTTGGATTTGGTATGTGAACAATGTTGATAATACACTGATGGTTTAGTTGTTGCAGAGGAGTGTTTGCTTACTGGGACAGCAAGTGAAAAGAGAGACTGACAGAAGCTGGGGAGATTTAATCCTCACAGCTGTCTTGGGTTTGGCTAGGATAGAGTTAATTTTCTTCTTAGTAGCTGGTACAGTTTTGCACCAGCTGTGTTTTGGATTTGGTATGTGAACAATGTTGATAATACACTGATGGTTTAGTTGTTGCAGAGGAGTGTTTGCCCCAAGTCAAGGACTTCTCAGTTTCCCATGCTCTGGCAGTGAGCAGGTGTGCAGGCAGCCAGGAAGGAGCACGGCCAGGACAGGTGACCCAAAGGAATATTCCATACCATAGAGCATCATGCTCAGTATAGAAACTGGGGGGAGTCAGTTGGTGCGGGCGATTGCTGCTCAGAGACAGGCAGGTCAGCAGGTGCTGAGCAACTGCATTGTGCATCACTTGTTTCTCTAGGGTTTTATTCCTCCCTCTGTCTCCTTTTTATTACACTTCTTAGTATTAGTATATTTAATTTTGTTTCAGCTATTAAACTGTCCTTATCTCAAGGCACAAGGTTTACCTTTCCTTTCTCCACCCCACCAAGATTGTGGGGATGAGCAATCAGCTGCATGGTGTGTAGTTGCTGGCTGGGGTCAAAGCACAACAACAGCTTGTCTCAGTCATTTAGAAACAACTGGAATGCTGGTATTTTACTGCACAGAAAAGGGGGGAACATGGAATAGTGGGAAATGTTAAAACAAATACTGTAACACAAAACCACAGTCAGAAGCACATGCCAACCCACAGGGAAACCAAACAGTGCCCAATAATATGAAATCTGAAGGTCAAGGTGGTAAAGCAGAACTGCCTAGTCACAATGTGGGAATCTTTACAAAAAAAGTGGAGTGGCATGGAGTCCAAATAGCCCCAAATCTTGGTGTTGCAGGGGATCTCCTAAACGTTAAAAAATACACAGCCATGTGTATCTCAAACAGGAGTAAAAACCTGTACAAATGAATGCAGGAATGAACAGATGGTATTTTTATATTTTATTTATTAGTTGTATTCAGCTAGCTTACAAACATGGTTCAGGTCACTAAAAATGATGTCTCTGTTTTCCACCCACCACCACACAGGTAATTAACAGGCTATTAGTACCACAAAGGTAATTAGCAGGTTATTAAGACTGTGCAGATTAGCAACAAAGTAGCTTTATGATACAATTTAAACCTCTATTGGAAGCAATGGGAAGAATACAGTTTTACAGTTGCAAAGCTGATTTGAAAGTTGTATTTAAGCTTAAACATGACAGAGAGCACAGAACTAGGATCCTGTGTCAGAGATGGACACTGTTACTTTCCATTTGACCCAGCATTGCTCTGAGCATTCAACACTTCTGCAGAGCTAAAAATACAGCAGCAACCACATGCTCCCACACATGATCCATGCTAATTTCTTGTGCAAAACCCAAATAACTAATGCCATTTCTACCACAAAAAAGGAAAGAAGCCTGATCACAGCTAACACTGTAGCAGCTGCATATAATCTTTCTGTTAGGTGGGTTACATGATGCTAACCATTATGACAGGCATAGCAACGTAAAGCTAACAGAAATGTTTCATCAAATCAAAGCCAGTTGTGGATCTAATGGTTTTGGTAGTCAGACTGAAGACTTCTGGGGAAAAGTGCAGATCAGATTCACTGGTAAAGCAAGATCCACAATCTGACATTCAACAAGTGCAACAAGGACTGATGCTGCACTCACAAGAATGAAATTCTCTAAAGGCTACACATACAGGGAAGTAAATGATTTGAGATAAGAACATACTTCGTTTGATGAATAAAGATTACTTCTCTTAGCCTATTGTGAAATATAAGTGATTTAAGTACAGCAGTTGAACAAAGTAATTTCACTCTTCTGAGTGCTTGAATAGTAGATTAACTGCTATATGTTCAGTTATTACACTTCAGAGTTGATGAGTGACAAATTTCTTTATTCAATTCCTTTTGCTTTCAATTCCGACCGAACTCGCTCCAGATAATCAGGATCAGGGTAGCCAAATCTGGGAGAAGAAGAAAAGAATTATTTGGGCTACTTCTGTAATGAAGCATTTGACAGTTCTACAAAAACTTCTCATCAAAATATTTTTATAACTCTCTACAAATTTTATGCACTTCTCACCCTACAGAGAAAACAGACCCTTTGTTGCACGTCAGAGAAGTGGTGCAGACAGGGTAAAGCTACAAACTTAAGGAGCTGCTGAATTTCATTGTCCAAACTGACACTAAGAACTTTAATTTAAAATCTGCCTGCTGCCTCACATGAAAAGTATAGGGTGTTAGGGTATGCATCTTTCTAAAAAGACAAATCAGACCTGGAGTGTATCCAAGTCCACATTCACATCATGAACATAATGGCACCTCTGGATATTAAGTGGTGTGTCACCAGGAGTGAGTATGAAGCAAGTCATAACAAGGGAGAGAATTTGGGCAGAATGAGGGATAAAGTAAAACAGATGCTTTTTGCTCTTTTATGATCCTAGCCCAGTAAAGAAGATCTAGACAAATCTTTAGAGCTTGCAGGACAACACCTGCCCCTTAGAGGCTGCGACAAGCTCAGAAGAACTGGTTCAAGCCTTCCTCTTGTCCCTGCTGCTGGCAGCTCCCCCTCAGTACTGGTCATTGCTCCATTTGCATGTCCTTGCCTTTACCTAGAAGTGCAGCAAGTCCCCAAGAAATGCTGTACAGAGTTGTCTTCTACTCAGAAAAACCTGTTGAATAACCAAAATGGGGTGACCCTTTCTATGGATGGGGCCAGCATGGTGTCCAGTGCTCTGAGCAGAGACACACTGAATGCTAATCAACTCATGGCTCCTAGCATCTAAAAGGACATGACCATATCTATACTACAATCTCTTCCTTCTTGCTGTTAGCTCTGTTAAGGACAATTTCAAATCACATTTCACAAAGTCTGAGTGCCATCTGTACTGGGATCATAATGGATCAGCACCTCCTGGTGCAAAACAGCAGGTAACAGGAGAGGCTGAGATGAGGAGTCCAGCCTTAGGTGCTATCAAGACCTTGCTGCCCTTTCCTGTACTACAAGTAGTTTCTAATCGGAGCAGGTATTAACTGAGTAAATGCCTTACACAACTCACTGGTGAATGAGGGGCAACAGAAGACTAAGCTCATCCTTGTTCCAGCTGTCCAAATAGGTGAAGGTGATTCATATTTGAATCCATGAGCATTCCACAATCACTTTGTTGGTGACAAAATCTGAAAGCTCTAATGTGTAAAATATTCAGGGCAGCCTTTCTGACATATCTTAGTAGTAAGAATATTACATAAAGAGAAGATTACTTACTTGGTAGGTCCCCCTGAGACACTAGTTTTGTGGTGAATATCATTCCATGTGATAACACCTTCTGCACCAGTAGTTCGTGACTGCCCCACTGTGAAAATCAATTTTTGTTTAAAGGCTCTCTTGAGGAGCTCCAGAATTTCTTGCCCTTCCTTACTGTTAGGTAAATATGCTGTTCGGTGAATTTGATCATAATATTGCCCTGGGTTTGGATGGTTGCTCTGTTTTGTAGAAAAACAACACAAAACCACATTGTATATCATAAATGCATTGAAAGTATAAAAATTACACATCCCAGCTTTCACAGCACTTTTTATCTTGTCTTTGATTCAGGAGGACATAGCATGACTGATGACTGATGTTGAGTTTTTTCTAAGTAGATACTTTAAGTTTCATTCACATTTTCTCATGCATCCATTGTTATTTTTCAATTTGTTTCCCCCTCTCTTTTCTCCCAAATGTATGTCACCCCACCCCTAGCTTTTTCATTTACTCCATTCTCAGAGTCATGAATCCAAGCACATAACATAAGCTGATTTCTCCCCTGGAAAGCTATTCGTGTTTGTCCATCGGTGTCCACAGCAAAGAGAAAGCCCCAGAGAATGCTCATGACACTCACAAAATTTTGTTTATGTGATATCACTCCAAAGATTCCAGTTCAGACATTCCCAATGGACAAATTAAAGACATGTAGCTGGTCCATGTCAGATGAAAAGATTACTTACCAGTACCTTTGGTACTCGGAGCTCTGGTTGCAGTGCACCCACTCAATTCATTATGGGGAGGGGAATCAACAAGAAACAGAAAAAACTGGATTTTTTACTAGGACAGCAAGATGATTCATAGAATCATATCATAGAATTTAGGGGTTGGAATGGACCATACAGATCATCCAGTCCCAACCCCCTGTCCTGGGCAGAGACACCTTCTCCCTAGATCTGGTTGCTCAAGGCTCACCCAGCCTGGGTTTGAACACTGCCAGGGTTGGGGCAGCCACCACGTCCCTGGGCAACCTGTGCCAGTGTCTCCAGAGCCAATGACAGAGAGAAACCATGGCGTATATAAAATGGAAGGCTACCATTTGACTGTTTAATTCCTACTATATTACCTCATCACACCCGAAAGTACTGTGGATTTGTATGGAACAAAGAAATATCTTTCCTGGACATGCATTAAAATAATGGGGAAATAGTTAATTCTATATTCAATAGTGGTTTACTTGTGGGGAAAAATATATTTCAAGGATCTTTAAATATACTTACAGTTTGAATACCACCTTTCATTTTGTATTCAATTTGAATAGTGTTATACTGGGAATAACCAGGGAGAGAGAAAGGCATCACTGTGGTTGACATGGTTCCCTCTGGTTGATCTCCTTTCAAGACTCCATAGACAGTATTACAAACAGGACAGGCTGGCTTGTAAGCCATGGCTTGGGAGATGCAACTCTTGCAAAATGCATGTTTGCACTTCCTCAGTGTTTCTTTATTATTGATTCTCTCCATGCAAATAGGACACTCGTCTTTTTCTTCTGTCTGTGCCTTAGCCTGTCCTTCAGAAGAAAGACTATTCTTTTGCCTGCCATCGAATTTCTTCTTAGATGCTCCTGTAGCTCCTTGAGAGCTGAGATCAGAGGACAATGGTGTCTTATTTCCAGTTTGTGCTGACTCTTCAGTGTTAAGATGGTCCATAGCGTGCTTTTCACTAGCATAAAGATGGCCTGGGAAACCATTTAAGATTAATTTATCTTCATTTTTCTGGAGATTTGCATGAAGATCTTTGAGTTGTTTTCCACTAAATGGCACATTGAAGGTTTTCTTCTGATCTTCTGAAAGCTTCGAGCTGATGAGTGTTTCTCTTAGCTTTGCAGAGGCCCTCTGAAATGCATTGATGAAACTTTCTGTAGCATGTGACGACATATCAGAAGTTTTTGACTTAGGCCTAAACAGTATGAGCATCTTCTGGCCATAGGAATTCTCTTTTGTTTCTATGACTGTATCAAATTTGTCTTTAATGATTTCCATTTCTTTGCTTAATACTGTTTCCAGCAATTTAAACACAGAAGCATCAACTTCAATTCCACTCCTGTATTTGTACAGTTCAGATGATATTTTCATATTCTTTACAACTTGTCTGTTCTCACTTTCCTCTGCTAGAAATTTTTTGGCAGCTAAAACCTCTCTTGCTGGACCAAGGAGTAGCAACTGATTCCCTTCCTCTTTAGCAAGAAGACTACTAAACATTACATTTAGTTTCATTATTGTCTCCCCTAATGTGTACCTGTCTGTTGTGGGAATTTTTTCCTGTTTCAGATCTTCTACACTTTTCTGAAAAGTATTGATAAATAAATCTCTAGCTGCTTGTAATGATGCAGGATTTTTATCAGAAGATAAGTGTATTGATGTGGTTTTATCCTGAAGAGCTTTACTTCTTATGCACACTCCAAATTTTTCATGCAGTAGTTTGATTTGTTCTTTGTGGGTATGACAAAAATACTCATACAGAGCTGTCAAAACTATAAGCTCATTAATTTCTTCAGTATTCAGACCATTTTCTTCTTTCAAACCATTCTTACTTTCATATTGTGAAAAGTCATGGTTTGTGTCATTGCCTGCAAGGATATCCTTAAAGTAGTGATAAGCTTTTTCAATATCTGTAAAATCTCCGGTCAGTTTCTCAAAGCCCTCAATTCCAGGATTTCCTTCTCTCTTTAAGTTTGGACACATACTGGTAACTTTCTCCCTTTGCTCTTCAGTGAACATACTGGTATTCAAAGTAGCAGACACTGTAAGAAATATCTAAAGAAAAGACAAGAATATACCAACATCAGTTTTTCTAAGTTTCTCTGCTTGCTGTTTCTATGTTTTGATCAAGGAGAAGTCCTGCTTAGCTTGAGACTGTGACCAGCACTCTCTGCTCCTGACCTCTGGGAACAAGTATTTCACAAGGCAAACAGCTGTTTTCTGTCCCTTTCCCCTCATTATCAGGCCCTAAAAGTCCTGTGCACCAACTAGACAAATCAAACAGATTTCTTCTTCCCCTCCCTATCATCCTCAAGGTTTCTGGGCACCAGGCCAACCAGTTCCCTCTGTACTGGCCTTGAAGGTCCCAGGCACCCTGACAACCAGGTGGTGTTGACCCCATGACAAAACAGGGAGACATAACAGCACACAGAGCACTGTCTACAAAATTAACTAGTTACAAGCCCTAAGTGGGAACTCAGACCACATCTGCTGCTGGACACTGAGACCCACAATCCTCTGGTGGCCAGGGACACATCCACCAGCCTCTGCTTCCTTTGAGGACTGACTGGGTGACTCATACATTTTATGGGCTTTCGAGTCTAGGTTATGATTGTTCTATTCATATAGCAAGCAAGTATTAAGATTTGGCAGGATTTGCAGAGGGTCCAGATGATTAGAAACCATAATCTAAGCTGTGCTATAAAATGCAGTGCTACACTAATTCTGCTTGTTGAAATCCTGTACTATTCCAATTTTTAATTCTATGCTATGCTAATCATAAAATCCTCTAAAAAAAACCCACAAAACTTTAATTGTAAACACAGTTTAGTGACATCATCATTCTTTCAAGGATCTCCAAAGGATTCTGTCTGTCCCCTTAGTGTCAGGGGCCATAGACACAACATGTTTTAACAGCACATACATGGTATATTTCATTGTTCTTTATATATATTAGACTGTCTAGTTTTCACTTATTATCTTTGTTTAAAAACTTCCCCGAAGTCATGTTGTGGTAACTCAGAGTTCAGGCAGAAAACAGTATCATGAACAATAATAATAAACATGTTCCCATTCCTACTTTGCAAAGACAGAAGGATTGGGTATATTGTAGCATACTGCTACAGATGCCAAGTAACCACTATGTTAGCACGTGCAACACCTCAAAAGCTACATCTATGCTACAGTGCAAACCAGGGTAAACCATCTGAGCCAGATCAGTGTCTCAGTAGAGCCACATCCACATCATGTAGCCTGGCCCTATCCCATGTCCCTAACACACAGCTGATCTTTTCTGCACAGCTTCCAGTTCAAAGTGCCCGAAATCATGTTTGCTGTGCTACACCACATCAGAGCAGGCTTTTTTAATGCTGAGGTAGGAATTAGGGCTGCTTGAAGGTGTAAATCATGCTGAAATAGGGTTAGAGGTCTGCATAGCTGGAAGGGATCCAAATCTCATACAATTCTTCTACCTTTTGGGAGCAGCATATTATCCCCTGAAACCTTCCGGGGTGCTGCTTTGGCATCTGCTAAAGCCATGCTGGAGAACATCCTGCCTGCTAATGTGTGGAATGACCTCTGGACCAGCACTCAGAATCACTCCAGGTCCCCATTTTATTGACTAAGATCATGAAACTGACGTTTGCTCGGTGTGATATATTGAAGTACAACATAATGAAACTATAAGCATGGCAGGTTGGGACACTGCCTGTTATTTTCTTCCCGACATACCTTGTTGGTAAGTAGTTCCCTTGCCGAGTCCCCACAGCCTCTGGCTGCTCGCGGCTCCTGGGGAGGCAGGGAAGGGCTGGCAGGGACGAAGTGGCTGGTGGAGGCCTGATCTGTCACCTGCCTGTTGCTCGGGTCCCCTTCTCCCGGCTGGATAACTATCTTCAGGCATTTACTACCGATTTCCAACGTGTGATTCGTGCGGGATTCCACGCTCTTCTTATCTGCAGTAATTCGGGGACAGGCAGACAAGGCTGGTAAAGATACCTGAACACGGGATGGCTACCAGCTGCCCCGAGCCCACCTGCCCGCGCCCTACCCAGGTGTGCAGGGTTTTGCCAGGTTTGCCAGGTGTGCGGGCGACCACCCCGCGGGGCTCAGCCG